AGCAATCTTGAGAAAGAAAAGCAAGAGCTGACAGAATCAGGTACCCTGACTTCAGCCTACTCTGCAAGTTTCAGTAATTAAAACATTGGTCCTAGCACAAAAACAGAAATGATCAGTGGAACAAGACAGAAAGTCCAGAGAGAAACCTATGCACCTATGGTCAATTAATCTATGATAAAGGAGGCAAGACTATACAAAGGAGAAAAGATAGCCTCTTCAATAGGTGGTGCTGAGAAAACTCAACACCTACATACATGTATAAGAAGGAAATTAGAACACTCCCTAACATCATACACAAAAATAAACTCACGGTGGACTAAAGACCTAAATATAAGGACAAGCCCTATAATACTCTTAGAGGAGAATACAGGCAGAACACTCTCTGGCAAAATTACAGCAGTATCTTTTTTCATCCACCTCTTAGAATAATGAAAATAAAAATGGAAATAAACAAATGGGATCTAATTAAACTTAAAAGCTTTGGCACAACGCAGGAAATCATAAACAAGATAGACTACAACCCACAAAATGGGCGACAATATTTGCAAATGATGCAACTGACAAGGAATTAATCTCCAACATATTTAAACACCTCAAAGAGCTCAATATCAAAAAGCAAACAACCCAATCAGAAAAAGAATATAAGATCTAAATATACTTTTCTCTAAAGAACACCTACAGATGACCAAACAGCACAGGAAAGGATGTTCAGAAAGGATGCTCCCCATCACTAATTATTAGAGAAATGCAGAAATACTGCACTGAGCTATCATTTCACACCAATCAGAATAGCCACCGTCAAAAAATCTACAAACAATAAATGCTGGGGAGAGTGTGGAGAAAAGGATTATGGAATGTAACTAGGCATACCCACTGTGGAGAACTCTATGGAAGTTTCTTTAAAAACTTAACTATAGACTTGCCATAGGATTCAGCAATCCCAGTCCTGGGCATATTATCTGGAGAAAACCATAATTCAAATAGATACATGCACCCCAATATTCACTGCATAACTATTGACAATAGACAAGACACGGAAGCAACCTAAGTGTCCATCAAGAGAAGAATGGATAGAGAAGATGCAGTATTACACACACACACACACACACACACACCCCCCACACACCACACACACACCACACACACACACACACACACCACACACACCACACACACACACACACACCACACACACACACACCACACACACATACTACACACACACACGCACCACACACACACACATACACACACACCACACACACACACCACACAACCACACACACACCACACACACACACACACCACACACCACACACACACACCACACACACACCACACACACATACTACACACACACACATGCACCACACACACACCACACACACACACACCACACACACACACCAAATGGAGTATTTCTGAGCTATGAAAAGAAGGAAATAATGCCATTTGAGGCAACACAGATGGATCTCGAAATTACAATACTAAGTGAAGTAACTCAGAGAAAAACAAATATCATCACTTACATGTGGAATCTAATCAAAATAAGCTCATTTACAAAACAGAAACCAACTCACAGATCTCAAAATCAAATTATGGTTATGAAAAGGAAACATGAGGGGAGGGAAAAATTAGGAGATTGTGGTTAACATACAGACACTATTTTCCAATAGTCAGATATGGATATGAGAGTTGGACCATAAAGAAGGCTGAGTGCCAAAGAATTGATGCTTTTGAACTGTGCTGTTGGAGTAGACTCGCGAGAGTCCTTGGACTGCAAAGAGATTAAACCAGTCAATCCTAAAAGAAATCAATCCCAAATATTCATTGAAAGGACTGATGCTGAGGCTGAAGCTCCAATACTTTGGCCACCTGATGTGAAGAACCACTTATCAGAGAAGACCCTGATGCTGGGAAAGATTGAAGGCAGGAGGAGAAAGGGGACGAGATGGTTGGATAGCATCACTGACTCAATAGACAAGAATTTGAGCTAACTCCACAAGATAGTGGAGGACAGAGGAGTCTGGCGGGCTCCAGGATATTGGTCACATAAAGTCAGACACGACTGAGTGACTAACACTTTCACTTTGAATATGGAAAACTTAACAGTGCTGGTTTTTAAATCTGCTGTAAGTTAGGTGCAGAGAAAATACTTAGTATCAAAAGTACTTAGATACTAACTACTGCTTAAAAGTAATATTAATACTACTTAAAAGTAGCATTTTTTAAATACCATATAAATTTTCATCATACACACAAAAATATTTCCCTTTAAAAAAGACGTTCTCATCATGTTTAATGAGAAACAACTAAAATGTCATGAAAACAGTCCAGAAGGGAAAGTTTTACTATTTATCTTTCAGATCATATATTTTTCCTTCAAAACCTGTACATATTCTTGTGATGTTTTCAAAAGTAGGTCCTGATATAGATTTGACCCATCTGCAGATCCTAGAGGAGACACTCCATAGGACTCAGATTCAAATTCAGCAGCAACTGGAAAGAAAAAGGGTTACATTCTTTATCTAAAATACTTGAGTTAACTAAGTATTAGTTTAAAAAAAAAAACTTGAGATATTTCTAAGTGTTCCAAAAAATGAAACATATCTATAGATGACAGGAAACAAAATACAAGATTACAATTACATAAACTGCCCATGGTCACACATGTGGCTGAATGTCAGAGCTTCCGGTTTTCTCATTCTTCATTCATTTACTCAGTAACTATGTGCAAAGGTGCTGTGACACACACTGGAATTACAAGACGAAGATGAGCCAGGCCACCCTGAAAAATGATATCCCATAAACTACAAAAACAAACAGGCAATTTCCATGCAGAGTCATAAATACTAAGATAGAAAAGACGGCACAAGGAACACTCAGGAAGGACAGCCAGCTTTGTGTCAATACTGTCAGCTTTCTGGTGCAGGTGCTGTGGAAGTAGATACATGAAGGACAGGAGAAAGTACAGGAGGTAGAGGGGAGAAGCATGTACAAAGACTGGAGGTGAGGAAGCGCTCCTGTGGGATCCTACAGTCTGGCTGGTTAGATGCAGAGCTGAGGGGCAGAGGAGGGTGGTGAAGAGATAAGGCCAAATACTTTGGTAGGACCCATACTGATGTGGATGGTTGGAAGTTTTCTTGAGGAGAAAAGATAAACTAGTGACAAAATCAAAGTCTGAGAAATTTTAAGGTCACCCATCAAGTGGCAGTGACACAGACATGACTGCTTGAGTCTGGGTTACCCAGCCTTAAGGACTATAGGAACTTGACAAGTTGATGAACTCCATGTTCTCTGAGAATAGTGTCAGGGTGCAGGCGGATAGTTCTCCAGAGATGGCAGAAGTAGAGGCAAGATATAGCACGAAGAAAAAGAAATACATACTGTCATGATGACTGTAGCTCTGTAGTATAGTCTGAAGTCAGGCAGGTTGATTCCTCCAGTTCCATTTTTCTTTCTCAAGACTGCTTTGGTTATTCGAGGTTTTTTGGGTTTCCATACAAATTGTGAAATTATTTGTTCTAGGTCTGTGAAAAATACTGTTGGCATCCTGATAGGGATTGCATCGACTCTGAAGATTGCTTGGGGTGGTATACACATTTTCACTATTTTGATTCTCCCAATCCATGAATATAGTATATTTCTCCATCTATTTGTGTCATCTTTGATTTGTTTCATCAGTGTTTTATAGTTTTATATAGGTCTTTTCTTTCTTTAGTTAAATTTATTTCTAAGTATTTCATTTTTGTTGCAATGGTGAATGGGATTGTTTCCTTCATTTCTCAGTTTTCTCATTGTTAGTGTATAGGAATGCAAGGGATTTCTGTGTATTAATTTTATATCCTGAAACTTTACTATATTCATAGATTAGCGCTAGTAATTTTCTGGCGCTGTCTTTAGGGTATCCTATGGAGAGGACCATGTCATCTGCAAATAGCAAGAATTTTTCTTTTCCAATCTGGATTCTTTTCTTTTTCTTCTCTGGTTCCTGTGGCTAGAATTTCCAAAACTATGTTGAATGGTAGTGGTGAGAATGGGCACCCTTATCTTGTTCCTGATTTTAGAGGAAATGCTTTCAATCTTTCACCATTGAGGATAATGTTTGCTGTGGGATGAAAAGCGAGGAGATTTACCTAACGGGTAAGTTTGGGGCAAGGAACTTCTCCAAAAGTGCTTGCTTTGTTCCAGATCTCTTCTTTGAAAAGATGTATGTGCCCACAGCACTGTGAACTTGGGTCGGCAGTAGGCAGCCTGCCCCTGGGATGAGCTTCAAGCATTTGCTTCCTCCTCTTAGGCCTGCGTGGGCAAGTCTCTGACTTGGGATGAAGTGTTAGGAGGTCGTGTGACTGCACAGCTAAAGCACATCCTCCAGTTCCATGGCTCTCAAGTACTAAGACCCAAAGTGGCCACAATGCTGTCGAAGAAACCTTAGATTGCTCTTCTATGATGCCGAGAAGCCAAATGAGAAATCAGGTTTACTACTTTTCTCTGCATCACCAGCATCATGAAATCACCATCAAAGTCATAAACCCGTGTGCACTGACTGAAATGGATATTTCAATCACAATGATTACACAATGAAAACTAGCTGCAATTTAAAGAGTCCCCATCATTGCTATCTCAGTCACCATTCATCCAGGTGATGTCAAGACAGAGATAAAAGTGAGCTTCATTTACAATTTATAAATATTTGATTTAACTACAAACTTAGAAACATTCTACAACTGCTCAGCAAGATATTCTTTGGAAACTTAAAAGACTATAAGTAAAATAGCAATTAAAGATGTACTCTTGTATAAGAAAATAACAAAAACTCATAACCTAGAACCAGAAATTAATCTTTTGACTTAGCGTCACAAGTTTGTTTAATTCATGAAAAGGGTTTCTCTTTTGATTCTTTCAAATAAAAAAATCCACATGTGGTTAGTGTTTAGATGCCAGTCATTCACTTATGCTTAGGGGTAGAAAAACTGTGGTGGGTGCAGCAGAGCCTGGAAATGATTATGAAGCACGGCCAAAGTGAAAAAATTATAAAGTAAGTCAAACATCTGAATGTATACTTTCAGTTACTAGGTAATAAGATTTCATTTCTAAATTAGAATTTAAATGCAGCTTTTCAAGAAATTTAAGAATTTACTAAGTATCTCTTAAAAATGAGAAATCTAAGACCAAAAAAGATGACAAAATTTCTGTGTCCTTGATTATCACAGTTACTTATGGCTTTTACTTAGTATGCATAAAATAAACAGCTCAGAAGTTCACCAAATTAAAAACAAGAATCACTTATCAGAAATCTGAAACCCAAGGTAAAAAAGATAATAGAACTAACCTTAGTCAAGTAAGTCTCCAAGCTGTTAGGTAAAGGGTGTGGAATTGAGGTAGAAACCACTATATTTGCTCTTGGAGTAGTTTCAGTTGAGCACTGAAGTATTATTGAAATTTCCAACACAAGGGGGCTCCAGGACTGGTTAGAGTGCTGAGTAAAGATCTGTTCTGCTGTTTCTCCACCTCAGGTTCGGTGCTGATCTCTGCCAGCCTCTCATTATTCCTGGGGAAGATGGAAAACACCAATTTCATTCATGTTTCCCTAAGTGACTTGCCTTTGTTAAGTTGCCGTATAGTAAATGGAATTCCCATTAAACTGTTAGAACATTGAAAGCACAGAGCAGACCCACTGTAAACAGTGACAGCTGTGACCTTGCTCTAAAGAAGCACACGTGTGTCTGGGGCTCCTCAAGTAACAAGTCACAGTTTGAAGAGGAGAGAAAGGGCGTCAGAGAGAAAGGGAGGTCGCCTCACAGTGACCCCTGTGGCCTCTGGGACACACCTGCCTCCAGGAAACAATTCAGAGATGAAGAAGCATACCTTCCACAAAGTCACGTTCAAGCGCTTCCTTTCACCTCCCTTACATATGTTTCACTCATGACCTCAGAGAAATTAAGCATTTGGCTCTGAGGAGTCATCTAGAGACACAGTCTGGAGGGGAGGATGAGAAAGTCAATGGGTGAGACTGAAGAGAGCTAAAACAGCCCCAGGAACAATTACAAGTATCCCCTGCTTTTCCAAAGTTCACGTTATGTTACTTCATTCCACGAAGGGCCTACGTCAGCACCTGTTTTTGATTAAAAAAAAAAAATGTGAAGAGAACTTCTGGTTTCATTTTAAAAGGCAAAAAGTCAAAACACTCTTCACTGTATGCGTTTACAGTGTGAGGCACTGGGCTCCCAAAGCAGGGAGACTGGCTCCACGGAGTTCCTTCTCCAGAAGCCACACCCCACATTGTAGCAACAAGTCCCACAGCCCTCAGCCCTCGCTGTGAGCACCGGTGTTTCCCTTGTGCATACTTATTTTATGCATCGACTAGCAGAATGTGTCCTCTGTGACCTGCTTCCTTGCTTTATGCTGTTTTGGCTTGTGGAAGGCTTCCTAGGAATGTTCTGCTTTCAGACGGTGGGTTACCTGGACTCGGCACTGCTGGTGGGATCTGCCCCTTCCATCCTCCACACACCCCCTCAGTCAGGTCACCATGTTAGTTTCAGCCGCTTTGTGAATTACCCTGCCTTCACCCCTGTGTTAATTTCCCTCTATTTCACAAGCATGCTTTTAAGTAGTGTAGAAAAACTTGATTCAGTATTAACATAGATTGTCTTAGAAGCCTCTATCGGTGACTATCTAGTTAGCTTTCACTTCCTACTAATCTCATGCACCCGGCTCTATCAAAATTGGCTTTCGAGACAAAGGAATGAACTAAATATATTTTTTGTGATTCTATCTCTTGACTTACTTGTTTAATATATTTGTCAATGACTTTCTGACTTCTAGTGCTTCTAGGTAGATTTGCTTATATTTTTCCAATTCTGCTTTATTAGAATCTTCTTGCAAAGTTTTCATCCTGGAGAGTTCAGGTTCCAAGTATCAATTATGAGTTCCATCTAACTTCTTATGGAAGCATTATTCTTCTCTCATAACTACTCTAAGTTTTCTCAAGATGCTGCTTGTATCTAAGGAAAATGTAAAAAGATAACATTTTTTAAATAATTATAACTTGGATAATTATACTTTTTCCCTTTAGTTTGAGTCAGTGATTCAGAGAACAATTTTAAATGTGAAAAAAAAAAAGAGTGGAAGTATAAAACAATTATCATCAATGTGAAGTGAATTAAATCTGATTTATAAAACTAAAGTGGAATCAATGTTATAGGAGTACTTAAATAATCTGATAATTCAAAGAATAAGAAGATCACCTTAAAATTTTAAACACTGAACAAGACAACTTAAGAACAATTCAAGAGGATGGTAATGGTTCTAAACCACAATATTGTCTTTTACTCCTAATAGTCTTGCTTTATACCAACTGGTCTTATAAGTAAAAGGATTCTCTAGTGAGAATCACTCTGAAAGGTCAGTTTACTGAAAACTGTTATGGAAACTGAAATAGAAACAAGTGCCCCCCCTTCCTTTCAGAAATCTACCAAACAAACTGCTCTAAGGAAAGTAGAGGGAACACACAAGCTGCATATATCTGAAATGTAATGTACAGTGAGGTGAATTCAAACACATGACAGATCAACAAATTAAAGTGTAAAAATAGGTTGACTTCTTTTCATTTCTCTGCAAGATCCTGTCTCCCTCTTTCTTCACTCTCCAGAATACACTGCTCTACTTGACTGTGTTCTATCATATTCAGTTCTACATGACTTTTGAGGTTCACTACTTCTTGCTCCAACTTCTTTTTCTTCTTCTTTAATTTTTCACATTGATTTCGCATTCCTTTCATGGATAATAACTCCTCTCAAAGAATTTGATTTTTCTGCATCCAGGTGCAGACATTTTGAAGATGCAGTTCCCAGCTCTGCTGGAAGATCATCAATCTTCAAGAAGAAAGCAATATCATTTGGTAATGAGGTAAGTGGACTGAGCACAGCCTAACTCAAACCCAGGATCAAATAAATATGATGGTATCTATATTGTAGAATGTAGGACCAGGAATGACTCAGAGAATCAAGAAAGAAGTTCAAACCACCAAGAGTCAGAAAACATACTCTTCACTGTCATCATCTTTGTCACACAACATCATTTGATTTTACATTTTTATTGCTCTACAATATATATTTTTCTACCTTTCCTCCATAAAATGATTACAAGTCCCCTCTCAGTAGAACATCTCTTACTCCTCCCCACTCACCGTCTTAATGCCCCACATTTTCAAAGAAGTGCAAAGGATACTGTATTGGGTTATCTAGAGCTGAGACAATAAATCCCTCCCAAAAGAAGACTGTGAAAACAAGACTCTAATTATTAAATCTATAAATATGGATGCTAGTCCCATAAGCCTTTTCCTGAACTACAAAGACTTTTTGCTCATTTGAACTGCATTCCAAAGAAGTTAAAAAATTCCATTTTCTACTAGTTTACTGAGATGATTCATACATTTTGCTAAAAAGAAAAATGCCACATTCTTGTCATCCTTTGTTGCTTTCCATTTATGCAAGACAAGTGCTGTGCATAGCAATAAATATTCCGTTAGACCAGTGTGTACTTAGACAAGATTCTCCCTCATGGAAAAAATGAAAACAGTGTAATTAAGGGCTAAACTGCTCTTCACAGACTGGATGACAAGGGCTAGAGAGAAAAGGCTCCATGAGAGCTGGACAGTCAGAAAAGATTCATGAAGGAGGAGCGACTGGGCACCAGGTCTGAATAAATGGAGGACTACCCAAGAGGAAAAGAAACTGTAAAGACAAAAAGGACAGTCTGAGCAAGGGCCAAGAAAAGGTGAAATCAGCCAGTGAACTCTGAGGATAAAATCCCACCACAGGGAAATAAAAACATGCCAGTGAACTCTGAGGATAAAATCCCACCACAGGGAAATAAAAACATGCACCTCAGAAACATGTAAACCAATGTTCACAACAGCATTATTAATAGCCCCAAAGTGGAAACAACCCAAAGCTCCATCAACTGATGAATGGATAAATGGCTTAGCCACAACACTGTTTATTGTTGACAATCAACAGAAATGGAAGAACTGATACATGCTATCACACGGATGAACCTTGAAAACATGACGGCAAATGAGAAAAGTTAATCCCAAAGGACCACATACTGTACGATTCCATTTATATAAAATACCCAAAACAGGCAGGTCTACAGAGACTGATATTAGACTGAGAGTTGCCTGTGACTGAGGAAGATGGCTGGGGGGTGGTGGTGGAGGGAGGGAGGCTGGTGGCTAGGTTGTGGATAAGGGATGCAGGGTTTCTTTTGGAGGTTGATGGAAATTCTCTAAAATTGACCGTGGTCTCAGGTGATACCTCTACAGACTAAGAGATACTGAACTACACATGTTGAGTGGGTGAATTCTATGATAAGTGAATTATATCTCAATAGCTTTTTAAAAAATCCAATGGCAGGATCTAGATAATCTTCTTAAATCTCTAGGTTTAATGGACATAGTATATACCATCTGAGTTCCTCCATGCTTTTACGATATATCTAAAATGAAAAGAAAAGAAGGCAATGCCTAACTTCAACTGCTTTGTATAATACCCTTTCTGCACAAGTTATTCTGAAACGCATGAAATAAATATATACAGAACTCTACAGCCTTTCACAAAAGCAAAGATGAGAAATGATAATTGTCTGGAACATTCCATTAAACATTATCTTTCAATTTTATCTGGCTTGCCTCATCATGGTAATACAGCTATCACTAAAAAAAAAAAAAGTCTATCAACTTGTGTGAAGAATGAGGCACAATTCCCAACTTTTCTAAGGTTACCTAATATAAGAAACAAATATATAGTGCAAATGGCAGAATGAAAGTCAGAGTTTAAGAAACAAGTGCATTTAAAGATAAGAAAACTGTAGTAAATTACTTGTAATGAAAATACAAAACAAAGGTGTCCATGAAAGTGAGTGTCCTTTTTATCCTATGTATTAAAGATTAAACACTATGTATTAAGGATAAAACATTTTATCCTATGTATTAACTGTCAACACATTAAATTTCACACCTACCTGACTTGTGAGTTGAAGCAAGTTGTTCCTTAAATCCTGTGCCTCAACTTTTAAGTAAGCACAATAACGTGACGTGAACTCCAGTGAAGCTCCCTACACAGACTTCTTTTTCAGGGTATCTGCCAGTTCTTGTTGAAGTTGCCTCACAACTGCCTAATAAGATGCCCTGTCACTGAGGTTATCAAATCACTTTACTATTATGCTAATAATACATAACACCAACATATGTACTTTCATCTCATCTCACACGCTAGCAAAGTAATGCTCAAAATTCTCCAAGCTAGGCTTCAACAGTACGTGAACCGAGACCTTCCAGATGTTCAAGCTGGATTTAGAAAAGGCACAGGAACCAGAGGTCAAATTGCCAACATCCGTTGGATCATAGAAAAAGCAAGAGTTCAAGCAAAACATCTACTTCTGCTTTATTGACTGTGCCAAACCCTTTGACTCGGTGGATCACAACAAAGTGTGAAAAATTCTTCAAGAGATGAGAACACCAGACCACCATACCTGCCTCCTAAAAAGTCTGTATGCTGATCAAGAAGCAGCAGTTAGAACCAGACATGGAACAACGGACTGGTTCCAAATTGGGAAAAGAGAACATCAAGGCTGTATATTGTCACCCTGCTTATTTAACTTAGATCAGAGGACATCATGTGAAATGCTGGGCTGGAGGAAGCACAAGCAGAAATCAAGATCTTCAGGAGAAATATCAATAACCTCAGATATGCAGAGGACAACACCCTTATGCCAGAGAGAGAAGAGGAACTGAAGAGCCTCTTGATGAAAAGGAAAGAACACAGTGAAAAAGTTGACTTGCAACTCAACATTGAAAAAACTAAGATCATGGCATCTGGTCCCATCACTTCATGGCAAACAGATGGGGAAACAATGAAAACAGTGACAGACTTTATTTTCTTGGGTTCCAAATCAATGCAGATGGTGACTGCAGACATGAAATTAAGATGCTTGCTTCTTCAAAGAAAACTATTTCTTATTAAATATTTCATATTAAAAAGCAGAGACATTACTTTATCGACAAAGGTCCATCTACTCAAAGCTATGGTTTTTCTAGTAGTCATGTACGGATGTGAGAGTAGGACCATCAAGAATGTTGAGCACCAAAGAATTGATGCTTTTGAACTGTGGTGTTGGAGAAGACTCTTGAGAGTCCCTTGGACAGCAAGGAGATCCAACCAGTCCATCCTAAAGGAAATCAGTCCTGAATATTCATTGGAAGAACTGATGCTGAAGCTTCAATACTTCGGTGACCTGTTGTGAAGAACTGACTCCTTGGGAAAGACCCTGATGCTGGGAAAGACTGAAGGCAGGACGAAAAGTGGATGACAGAGGATGAGATGGTTGGAAGGCATCACCGACTTGATGGATATGAGTTTGGTAATGGACAGAGAAGCCTGGTGTGCTAAATGCAGTCCATGGGGTCACAAAGAGTCAAGACAAGACTGAGCGACAACTGAACTGAACTGGTGAACTTAGAAAACTATCACCACAGAAAGCAACTCACCTTCTTTTCCCTCCTCACTGAATTTGGTTACAGACACAGAAGGGGCCACCTTCCAGCCTTCTGTCCTTTCTGATATTAACTTACTCAGACAAGAGATGCAGACCCGCTCTCCAAGCCCTGCCCCTCCCAATAAATCTGCAGAGCTTCACCACCTCACATCCAGAAAGAAATAGGTGTGAATGAGGGAAAAGTGGGGGAAAATTCCACTCTGTGGAACATTTTCCCTCTTTCTTTATTAGAGGCTTTGATTAACTTCAAAGATCTTCATATATTCTATCCAATGCTCAGATCTTTCCAATAGATTCCTATCTCAGCAAAAAAAAAAAAAAAGAGGCCATTCCCATGTTGCTTATCTATTTTATATCTAGTAGTGTGTCTATGTTCATCCCTAATGTATCCCTCCTCCCCACCTTTGCCGTTGGCTAACCATAAGGACCAGGAGAGCACAGGGACCTCTACTCAATATTCTCTAATCATCTATATGGGAAAAGGATCTGAAAAAGAAGGGATATATGTATACATATAACTGAATCACCTTGCTGTACATCTTAAACTAACACAAAACTGGAAGTCAACTATATTCAAATATAAAAGAAAAATGAAATTTAAAAAATGAGGCTGCTCCCATGGTCTTCAGGGAGCCTCGAAAACCTGGCCTCCACCTGCCTCTGGACCGCAGTCCCTACAACCCTCTCCCTGACTCACTCCATTCCTGTTGCTCACAAATCTTGCCACCATTCATTTTTAGTGGACGAGCATGTATCCAAATGACAGTAACTGATCCTAAAAATGAGAATTATCAGCAAATTGTTTGCAAAAATGTACTAAATAAATCATAAGTAGCAGATGGAAGATTAAATCAAGAAGAGTTTGGGTAAAGCTCACTGCTTGAGTCCCAAATTATGATTTAATGACAAGTAAATGCCTTTAAACAGTTGAGAGGCCATAAGAATAAATGGTTCGAAGCTGAAATGTTTCCCAAATTAATTCAGATTGACATGAATAAAAATAAAATTATACCGACAAATATGACAAATACCTCCAATAAACATCACCACTTGCTAGCTTTAAAAAAAAAAGTACATCTGATACCTAACCTATACTGCTACCCCATGATAAGAGCCTTAGCTCTGTACATATTTAAACAGATTAAATTTTATAAAAATATTTTTTCTTGAGAATATGCTACCGTTCTAACATTTTAGTAGTCAATTATAAGAATTATACCTATTGGTAGCTGCACTAACCATTTCTAAAAACATCAATTAACTCATTAGCTATAATGATTCTGGAAAGGAAGAAATTAAAAATGTAAGTAAGCTGCAGGCTTTCCTCCAGGTCTTCTGACTCTACTAGTCCT